TCGGCTTCAGCTCTCATTTAGGGGATAAGATTCCTATCAGAATCGGGAATGCTCATCCGAGCTTACCGCTAATCACAGCTCGATGTCCTCAGCCGGGGCCCAAGCGCCTAAGATTTTAATTCATACATTCCAAAAAACTTTCCTAATCGCCTTCTTTCTCCATCTGAGTCTCTCCAGATTGTGATGACTGATGCATCCTGAAAATCTGATGTCATTTTCTTTCATTTCCAATATTTTTCAGCCAGAATTCCTTGAAACATTTCTCTGGCAGGAAAAGTTAGAGCTGATTAGCAGTCCTTGTCAGCTATAAATAATAGTTAGTAGTAGAATTAAATTAAAAATTGATTCATATTTTAAATTAAAGACTATTGAAAGAAGTATTAGGCACTAAAACACACAACAATAAAATTATGTTTATCTTTTGCAGAAAAACTGGCATTTGTGGGTTTCAAAGGCTCATTCTACCCCGACTGGGTAAAACTGGAGATCAGCAGTGACCAAGCAAAGATCCATCAGGTCTTGCCTGTCCCTGTTGTTTACAAGCTCAAATTATAATTTGCAGGTCAAATGAAGAGGTTTGGAAGGTAGATACCGATACTGATAACATGGAAACACATTTACTTTTGTACATTTGCCGTAAGACTGAAAAGATGAAGATCACGGGAATGTGGTGGACAAAAAGGATTTCAAGACCTCCAACCAGAGCAGAAGTTTTTATGTGTCTCATGTTCTCACATCCTGTCTGGCAGCAATGGTTCACTGCAGTCAGAAGAAATCTGGACTTCTGCTGACAGGTTAGGCCAGTGCTCAGCAAAGAGATGTAAATGTTTCACTATGTTTGTCACAATCTTTTTATAAGAATAAGTAATTGCGACAAAATAAAAAATTTTATTTAACAAAACTTTTACCTTTTGGAAAAATTATTACACATATAAGACATGGAAATTGTTTTTCTCCTTTTTTTCATTTGACAGGCAGAGGGAATTTAAACTGTAAATTCTAACATCTTCATAGTATCATAACCATGACCACTAAAAACGTCATTCATAAGGCACGTTAAAGTTATATTAAGTTTCTTTGGTAGTTTCTGCTGAGACTAAGATGACTGAGTTATTTATGTGAAACAAAACTGAAGTTATCTTTTTATCTAAAGAGGAACAATCTGGAGTCAATGAAGAGTTTCAGTTATTACAATTACAAACCAGCAATCCAGCCTGAAATTTGAGTGCAGTGATGAATCTTAGAGCCACATAAAGACAGTTGCAAAGTCTATGAATGGAGAACATTTCCAGGATTACAGACAGGATGTGTTGTGGTGCTGAGCCGATCAGTAATTGTTAGATGGGGGAAAAGTAAAAAAGTATTTTGATTGTTAGATTGTTAGTTGTTGTTGTTAGTTTAGAAATCACAGAACGGTTTAGCACCACAATACATTAAAGATCTGCTGCTGCTGGATCAACCTTCCAGACCCCTCAGGTCTTCTGGTTCTGCTCGGCATCCAGAACCAGAACCAAACAAGGAGAAGTAGCTTTCAGCATCTAGGAAAACTTCCAAAAAACTGTAAACATCTGAAACACTGGGTGTGTTTAATTCTAGACTAAAAGCCCACCTGCTTAGAGTTGCTTTTGAATCCTAATTTTGAAACATTAATCAACAATCTAATGTGCAAAATGAAATCATACTTGGTGATGACAAACTGCAGAACATTCAACAAATCTTAAGTCTCCTTGTTAAGACAGGATAGATAAGAAGTAGCACTCAGAATAGTTTTATAAATAAAAACATCCTGAGCTGTTGTGTATATAAAATTAATTCTGAATTGGGATCATATTTGGTTAAAAATAAAAAAAAATGTATTTCAACTTTGATTGCAATATTCATGCAGTCAGTAACATTAATTTACTAATTTTGTAATCAAATTTTCTGTCTCCTTGGTGAAAAGAAAAAAAATCACATTTTGTTTAACATGATAGATGTTTTAAAGCAAAAAGTGTAAAAGTATCCAAAAGTAAATCTTTTTTGTAGGTACTCCAAGCACAAACAGCACAAGAGCAGGTGTGCTTATTAAGTTAATCGCAGGAAGCTTTTCAGTTGATCTCGGCAGCAGGTGAAGGCCGCCAGGACGCTGAGATCAGCACTTCCTCTTCTGAGGTCAGCACTTCCTCTTCTGAGGTCAGCACTTCCTCTTCTGAGGTCAGCACTTCCTCTCTGAGATCAGCACTTCCTCTTCTGAGATCAGCACTTCCTTTCTGAGGTCAGCACTTCCTCTTCTGAGATCAGCACTTCCTCTTCTGAGGTCAGCACTTCCTCTTCTGAGGTCAGCACTTCCTCTTCTGAGGTCAGCACTTCCTCTTCTGAGATCAGCACTTCCTCTTCTGAGATCAGCACTTCCTCTTCTGAGGTCAGCACTTCCTCTTCTGAGGTCAGCACTTCCTCTTCTGAGGTCAGCACTTCCTCTTCTGAGGTCAGCACTTCCTCTTCTGAGATCAGCACTTCCTCTTCTGAGGTCAGCACTTCCTCTTCTGAGATCAGCACTTCCTCTTCTGAGGTCAGCACTTCCTTTTCTGAGGTCAGCACTTCCTCTTCTGAGGACAGCACTTCCTCTTCTGAGATCAGCACTTCCTCTTCTGAGATCAGCACTTCCTCTTCTGAGATCAGCACTTCCTCTTCTGAGGTCAGCACTTCCTCTTCTGAGGTCAGCACTTCCTCTTCTGAGATCAGCACTTCCTCTTCTGAGGTCAGCACTTCCTCTTCTGAGGTCAGCACTTCCTCTTCTGAGATCAGCACTTCCTCTTCTGAGGTCAGCACTTCCTCTTCTGAGGACAGCACTTCCTCTTCTGAGATCAGCACTTCCTCTTCTGAGATCAGCACTTCCTCTTCTGAGATCAGCACTTCCTCTTCTGAGGTCAGCACTTCCTCTTCTGAGGTCAGCACTTCCTCTTCTGAGGTCAGCACTTCCTCTTCTGAGGACAGCACTTCCTCTTCTGAGGTCAGCACTTCCTCTTCTGAGGTCAGCACTTCCTCTTCCGAGATCAGCACTTCCTCTTCCGAGATCAGCACTTCCTCTTCTGAGGTCAGCACTTCCTCTTCTGAGGTCAGCACTTCCTCTTCTGAGATCAGCACTTCCTCTTCTGAGGTCAGCACTTCCTCTTCTGAGGTCAGCACTTCCTCTTCTGAGATCAGCACTTCCTCTTCTGAGGTCAGCACTTCCTCTTCTGAGATCAGCACTTCCTCTTCTGAGGTCAGCACTTCCTCTTCTGAGGACAGCACTCCCTCTTCTGAGATCAGCACTTCCTCTTCTGAGGTCAGCACTTCCTCTTCTGAGATCAGCACTTCCTCTTCTGAGGTCAGCACTTCCTTTTCTGAGATCAGCACTTCCTCTTCTGAGATCAGCACTTCCTCTTCTGAGATCAGCACTTCCTTTTCTGAGATCAGCACTTCCTCTTCTGACAGGCTTATCAAAAATATTCACCAAGATTTTAAATGTTTGTAAAGAATAATTTTTGTAAAAAAATCAACAATGAATGAATAATCTCAGTAATTGTTCAACAAGAATCAGAAGTGCATTTCAGTTCCACCAACAAAAGAAAACTAAAACAAACAAAAAACAGGCTAGCAGAGCAAGAATTTAAATTAGCTGCTCAACCACCGCTGAGTTCATGTGAGGCTTATTAATAATTGAGAAATAAATATCAAGGCTGGAAACCTGATAACGGACTGAATGTTATGTTTTTAACATAATCTCTCCTCGGTTTGAGGGGTGCAGGCGGCTGCCTCGGCATAAAAGACAAAGGGAAAGAGAGAGTAAAAAGCTGGAGTGGTTTTAAGTTGAAACCTGTTTTTTTTTTACCCAAACAGGTGATTGTTATTTTTCACAATTTGTATTTAATGCAAGTGTATATCAGATAACTGAAGTCTCAATCCAAATCAATTTTGTGTAAAGGAACCTCATTTAGATCTTCTCTCTCCACAAGTTATTTTGTGGAGGGATGGGGTACATGTCCAAAGTAACACTGAAAAAAACAGAATGGACTGACATCTTTAAAATATGTTACAAAGTAATCAAATTAAGTTTGTCACATTGACAAAAGTAGGAAATGTACAGAAAGTTCAAACTGTGCAAGCATTATCTAGTTTTACAAAACTGTTGAAACTGATTATATTCAAAAAAGTAGTAATGGAACTGAATGGATATGTGGAGTTGAGACAATATTTAAAACTGTTTCAACTGTTCAAAGTTTCAAAACCCAAAGAACCAGAGAGAGAATATATTCTTAATCAGTATTTGTTCAAAAGCTCTACAGCATTCGAAATTTCTGCTGAACAGTCAGGAGAAAAATCCTGGAGGAAATATACATATATGTCTTAAACATTCAGTAAATCATTACATATAACATGACATAAAGGTTTTGACACCCATATGTATGTTTACTTCTTATTTAGAACAACCAAAAATTATAATGCATATTACACATACATGTTGATGTATCCATTTATATAACTATTCATATAACTTTCCAGTTTTCTTGTGTTCTTTAGAATATGGTTTGTTCCCTGTACAGTAAATTGTTTTGCATTTTAAATGTTTAAATAAATGTGTAGCACATAACCAGCTTTGGTTCTTTGTCTGCGTCAACACATGCGAAAGTGTCAGCACCTCTCATTGGACGTCTCACAGCCTCTTTGGGTAACGTCGCATTCATTTTCTGCAACACTAGGAAATGCAGGCACTTTTATTTAATCCATCTTCTTCCAAACGTGCAGCCCCTATTCAGATGCTTGGCATTTCATCACCCAGGATGCACTTGAAATTCTTCAGGGCTTCAAACTGAATTTGAACAAAAATAAATAAATAAATGCGCATTCCTTGCAAAGTGGACTGCCAGGTTCTATTTATTGCGGTCAACAACCGCTGATGTGAATCAGGGCATAAAAACAGACGCTGAATTTTTCTTTAATAAAGAGTGAGAAAAAACTGTTTCAAAGAACCAGAGAAAGAATATATTCCTAATCAGTATTTATTCAAAAGCTCTACAGCATTTGAAGTTACTGCTGAACAGTCAGGAGAAAAAGCCTGGAGGAAAAACAGCTTACAGATTTATAGGGACGATTCCATTTGTGTAACCAAACTATGTAGTTAGAACAGATTCCAAGCATACATATTTTCTTTCATTAGCTTAGCACATCATGAAGGTGCTAGTGAAGTTTAATAACTTTATTGTAACACCAAGGCCTGAGAAGTAGCTTCAGAAGATTTTCTCATGAGCGCATGCATTACACAAGAATCACTATACAGTTTTAACTCTGGCAGAACTCAGAAATGAGCTGGACTTTAGAACTCCTTGTGTTTGGGCATTTTATAACTGATTTTAACCAACCATTGTTACAAGATTAGTGGTAATGAGATACTGTCTCACTATGAGATAGTCTCAATATAATGAGATTCTGTCTCAATATAATGAGATTCTGTCTCACTATAATGAGATTCTGTCTCATTATTATGAGATTCTGTCTCACTATAATGAGATTCTGTCTCATTATTAGAAGATTCTGTCTCATTATTATGAGATTCTGTCTCACTATAATGAGATTCTGTCTCACTATGAGATAGTCTCATTATAATGCGATTCTGTCTCAATATAATGAGATTTGTCTCATTATGATGAGATTCTGTCTCACTATAATGAGATTCTGTCTCACTATAATGAGATACTATCTCATTATTTCGAGATACTATCACATGCATGTTTCTGGCACACAGAAACACGCAAACGTCATCACTTGGCACAGCCGTCATCTTGGCATGGGCCACGGACCTTTTACACTGGAAAGGGTCAAACTCATTGGCGACCGGATTCTTCAAGAGATTTTGGAATTTCAGACATATCAAGAACTTGTACGAGCCTGAGTCTGCTCAGTTCTTGAAAATATTATTTCCATTTTCTGGATATGTTTTAAATGAAGAGAAATGCATGTGGCCATTTATAGTGAATCACTGAGAGCCCAGAACATAAAGTGTCACTGTATCAAAACTAAATAAGTACAACTGTGCGTTCCCTTTACTGGTTTTCACTGATGACACTCGTTCAGCAAATATCTCAACAACATTAAATTATGGAAATGATTTCAATATTTATTGGCAGTTACAAAAGGTAAGAAAAAAAAATTAATCAGTGAGTGATTTCTTTCAAGGTTAGAGCTCAAATACAATTCCCTACAGCCAACATCACTATGAAGGCACAATTGCTTTGCCTGTCATGATTCTCAGATATAGCCTTCAACCTGTCTTGCATTCTTTGCAAGGTCAGCAGAAAATGGGAAATGGCTCATGAGCTTCCCATTTCGAATACTTTCAAAGCTCGTGCTTGAGATTGCTAGCAGAATTTCCATTCACATCTGGCGTTTTGCTCTCTGTTTTTCTGCCTTTTTTCTTGATGTTGACTTCATTCTGATGCGTCTCTTTCGCTTTGTCCTTTTTTGCCATGCTTCCTGGAAACACTTGTCCCTCCACTGTAACATCTGCACACCGTTGTTGAGCCACAAGGAAGTCTTTAACTTCCCAGGCCAAACTGCCGTCTCGCAGCATGAAGATTACTCTGTTTGAGCCCACTACAAACCTGTAAGAACAAATAAATAATGGCATTGTTAGTAGGCTTATGTCATTGTACAGTCATTGTACAATATGCATAAGAAAGCCCTAATCTCATTCCACGGATTGCTCTTGCAATTCCTCCTTCAAACGGTAATTGAGGCTCAAGGTGCAAGAGCACAATCTTGATACAAATTATCTGGCTCATCCTGTCACAACATGTTGACAGTTTTAAAAAATACTGGTATGTAAACTAATTTTCTTTTTTTTTCCAACTTTCTTTATTGAATTTTACAGCTTGACATACAGCAATCATCAGTACAATGAAAACACAGTTGTGTTGTTATTGAGAGAGAGAGAGAGAGAGAGAGAGAGAGAGAGAGAGAGAAGTTCAAGCTGATTTCTCCCAAAACCCTTATCACCTCCAACACCCCCGTCTGGGTCTGAACACAAGACAAACAGCCAGCAGAGAACCGAGCGCTCCAATAACGTACAGCAACATGACACAGACCCACACCCATCCACACCCATTCCAAAGTAAGAAGAAAAAAATAAAGAACGGAAAAATAACATTACTGAAAATCATAAATAAATGTATATATATTTATACGTACACACTAGTAAATTAAGCAAATATACAAATAAATTACAGATATATAAAGAATAGAAAAATTCTAATATAAATAAATATCAGTTAAAAACAAAAGAACAGGATATTGATATTGACAGAAGTGGATATTTACCCTTCAGTAAGCAATGCTAATTGAAGGGTAAATTTGGGCTAATTTTGCATTTGTATAATGCACTTTATAGAATATTTTGCACTGTATTAAACCATGCCGGGTACAGATCAAGGACTTATAAATTAAATTATTGGCAGCCTCCCACCGCTTCTCATCTACCTCAACACCCAGCTCCCCCTCCCATGCTGTTTTAATCAAAGCTGAAAATCTTGATGCGTTATTATTAATAGAATTATATCAGAAAAATAAAATATTTTTTTCCACAGTGGGTCCAATTGAAAAAAGTGTTTCAGGGAGTCGATTAGGAAAGTGGGGAAAAACCTTAACATAATCCCTGACCTGAAAGAACCGAAAAAGATGAGAATTGGGCAGTTGGAATTTGGAAGAAAGTTGAGCAAAGGACAAAAAGATATTGTTGCTATAAAGATCCTTTACAGTCTTATTCCCTCTGTCATGCCACGAGTTCAAAACTAAATTAATGCCTGAAGGCATGAAGTTAAAATTTTTGGCTATAGGAGTTTGTATCCAGGGGCCATCCAGGCCAAACTGCTTCCTGAATTGGCTCCAGATCTATAGGGTTGTCCAAACAGGGAGAGGGGAAGGGGAAGCTGAGAACATAGCAGAGAGGACAACGAATAACAGCTAGATGCCCTTTTAATTCTGCCGCTTATCCGAGGTTGGGTCGCGGGGGTAGCAGCCTAAGAAGGGAGGCCCAGACTTCCCTCTCCCCAGCCACTTCCTCCAGCACCTCCGGGGGAATCCCGAGGCGTTCCCAGGCCAGCCGAGAGACGTAGTCCCTCCAGCGTGTCCTGGGTCTTCCTCAAGACCTCCTCCCAGTGGGACGTGCCCGAAACACCTCACCAGAGAGGCGTCCAGGATGCAACCCAACCAGATGCCCGAGCCTCCTCAACTGAGTCCTCTCGATGTGGAGGAGCAGCGGCTCTACTCTGAGTCCCTCCCGGATGACCGAGCTTCTCACCTTATCTCTAAGGGAGAACCCAGCCACCCTACGGAGAAAACTCATTTCGGCCACCTGCATCCAAGATCTCGTTCTTTCGGTGATTACCCAAAGCTCATGACCATAGATGAGGGTAGGAACGTAGATCGACCAGTAAATCGAGAGCTTTGCTTTCTGGCTCAGCTCTCTCTTCACCATGACGGACCGATACAACGCGCACTTCACAGCGGACGCCACGCCAATCCGCCTGTCGATCTCCCGCTCCCTTGTTCCTTCATTCGTGAACAAGATCCCGAGATACTTAAACTCCTCCACTTGACGCAGGACATCCCCCTCGACCCGGAGGAGGCACTCTAACCTTTTCCGGCTCAAGACCATGGTCTCGGACTTGGAGGCACTGATCCTCATCCCGGCCGCTTCACACTCGGCTGCAAATTATATCAAAAAAAAAAAATTATATCACGTCTGCAGACGTGATCTGCAGACGTGCAGATCACGTCCCGATGAAGCCAATAGGACCACATCATACGCAAAAAGCAGAGATGGAATCCTGACGCCACCAAAACAGATCCTCTCAACACCCTGGCTGCGCCTAGAAATTCTGTCGATAAAAGTAATGAACAGAATCGGTGACAAAGGGCAGCCCTGGCGGAGTCCAACCCTCACCGGAAACGAGCCCAACTTATTGCCGGCAATGCGGACCAGACTCTGACACCGGTCATACAGGGACCTGACAACCCATATCAAAGGGCCCGGAATCCCATACTCCTGGAGAACCCCCCACACCCTGAGGGACACGGTCGAACGCCTTCTCCAAGTCCACAAAGCACATGTAGACCAGTTGGGCGAACTCCCATGCACCCTCCAGGACCCTGCTGAGGGTGTAGAGCTGGTCCAGTGTTCCACAACCAGGACGAAAACCACACTGCTCTTCCAAAATCCGAGGTTCGACTATCCGACGGACCCTCCTCTCCAGGACCCCCGAATAGACCTGAGGGTTGAGAGTGTGATCCCTCTATAATTAGGGCACACTCTCTGATCCCCTTTTTTAAACAGGGGGACGCCACCCCAGTCTGCCAATCCAGGGGTACTGCCACCGATGTCCATGTGATACTGCAGAGTCGCGTCAATCAACACAACCCTACAACATCCAGAGCCTTAAGAAATTCCGGGCGAATCTCATCCACCCCCGGGGCCCTGCCACTGAGGAGCTTTTTAACTACCTCGGTGACCTCGTCTCCAGAGATTGGAGAGCCCAACCCAGCATCTCCAGGCTCAGCTTCCTCAATGGAAGGCATGTCGGTGGGATTGAGACAGTGGCGGAAAATTGTCGTGGTGGAAGCTATCGGAGCCCCAGAACGCTACGGACAGACGCTGTTGTCACGGACACGGCACAGTCGCGGTGAGCCGCTGTCAACCCGTGTCTTTTTAAAATGTCCTCCCGATATTCAGCCGTCCTTAGAAGTTAAAACTCTTGCAAAAATACAGACATGAATGGATAGACTCACATTCTAGGCTGAACAATGTCAGTGAGGATTGATTCTGTGTCCACAGATCGACAAAAAGAGTGGCCATAATGTCGTATGGTGATATAGTGAAATAATATATTATGATATCAAACAGGATCAGGAGAGGAAAACAGCAGACCCTCCTCAGAGTGATGAAGAGACATCAGCATCTCTTTATCAATCATATTCTGAGACTGATATGATACAGAACCTGCACAGAGTAACAGGAAGTCCAGACGATGACCAAGAGGATGTACTGTATGTGAATGGAAATGGTTATGGGGATGTACTGCCAATCTGACATTTGTGCTTTTATGCATTTTTTTGTTTTGTTTTTATGTATTTATTGTTATATTGCAGTTTTGTCCCTGCTTTCAAACTAAATTTCTCCTATGGGAGACTAATAAAATTATCTTATCTTACATTTTATTATTGAATCAGTTTCTTATTGTGTTTTTAGTAGACTATATTGGTTTGATCATTTGCTTAGGATGTTGAGTTTGGATGATATTTTATTTTATATACATTATATACAATATATAAGTAATATATATTACTTACTTATATGTTAATGATATACTTGTAAATAATACAAGTAGCCATTTAAAGAATAAATCATACTTGTAGACTAACAGTAAATACTTAAATATTTCCTACATTACAAAAAATTTATGGGACTTTCTGTGTGTTTATTCAGAAATTCTGATGTATGTTATGACTAACTGTTCAGTGGTCATTTAATGTATTATTTCACTATTATTTTTTTAACATGGTTTACCAGTTTGGATAAAATGAAGGAAAAACATGTCAACTAAAAAATCTCCAGTCCCAGACCGTCAGTCCATGGCGGTTCTAGACTGAGGCCCACAGATGAACCAAAAACATTACACTAAATAAATATTTTTATTTTTTGTTAATATTCAGTGGTGGATTTTTTTTAACCCTCAAACTTTTACTTTAATAATTAAAAATGATATTGTTGCACTTTTAGCTGCTGTATGGAAATAGGATCACACTGTCCATCTGCCAGATCAGGCAGCCTGAATCTTACAAGACGCAAGTGGTTCTTCAGCTCACTCAATATATCAAATAATGAAATATTGCTATGTTCTTTTATTTTATTCTTCCTTTAGTGTCTCCATAAAAAACACAACTACAATGGCCCCTGTAGTAATTTGGGCCAGAACCAACTTTCAAAGAAATCAGTAAAGACCATTCTAGATTTTTTAACTAGGCAGACTTGTGTGATCTTTGTTCAGATGGCAATTTGCTGTGCAAAATATCACGCTTAGTTATTTTTTGCAATGGGCAATTTTAAGTGGTATTGTAGCACTTAATTTAGAATTATATTTGTGATATTTATTAATAGAAATTGTGCACACCATTAGCTTTATTTATTTGAAGAGTACTTTGTAGTTGTTCAGTACAAAATATTGTACATGTGCCAAAGGTTGTGTTAACAGAATATTTTTAATATTTGACTGTTTTTTTGTGTGGGGTTTTTTTTATTGAAAAAAGAAAAAAAAACATGTAAAGCCTGTCCATCATTTGACAGGTTATAATTCACTGATGCAGACATATTTTTTACGTCCATGGCAGAGGCAACTAAAAATCGATCAATAATAAAATCTTTTCTGAATTTCATTTCATGGACACTGACCTAAATGAGTCTTTCATTTAAAACCTTTGGTTGAAATGGAGCCTTTAATTCCAGTCTCCAGTACAGACCAGAGAAAACTAAAAATAATGCAATGCTGAGCTAATCCTTTAATAGTCACAGCAGGGCTAAGACCCAAGAGAAAATATTTGTTGGTGCATTTTTCTAATTCTCATTGTTTATTTACATACATTCACATACAGAGGAGCCGGCAGTTTATCTTGAGGAAACAAACTAAATGCGCAGAAGTTAATGAGATTGTAATATGTGCAACCAATGTGGCCAAGACACATTGGTTAAAATGTGAATTAAACGCAACTCACCCTGTGGTTTTAACAAATGGAGCCAGTCGCACCAAGAAGGAGAGCGGAGCTCCGGAAGAGGATCAAAAGCTAGCAGAGTTCAATTGGTTCGGTTTGGATCCGACAGATCCAACTGACTGATGAACCAGTGCAGATTTCTCTGCAGATACGACCAGGATTTGTGAGGCTGTGCGTTCAGACCCCAGCAGGTGAAGTGCTTTTAATTTAAGTGGAGTCGTTGAATTCCATTTATTAAAAGTTATTGGGGCCACAGATTGTGGTTCTTAGATGGAATCATCTGGTTTATGTATGAAGGGATCTGGATTCACTGTTCAACTATTAACTAAACATCATAAAAAAATGCGGTGAAATAGCCAATGTTAATATGATTATAATATGATAGGTAAAAACAGTACATGACCGATTTTTTTATGCTGTCTGTTAAAATGACGGAGCACAAAAAACCTCTGATGTGTGCAAAATATTTGGATAAATAATGGGTCAGTCTGATCCTGGTCTTTAGCCTTGTTAATTCTCTTGTTGCTCTGTTTTAAAGTTTGATTAGTAACTGTTGTGTTGTTTTGTAATTCACTTCCCAAACCTCTCTGAGGTAAAACTAAAGAACAGTACAGAATGTTAGGGTCCGGCTGTTCCTCTGTCGGTGAACAGAAACTTCGCTGGAACCTACTTTATGAACTGAAATAGTAAAACCTCGACTCATAATGTCTACGTTCCCATAGATGGACAAACACTCTTGTTCAAAGAAAAAAGGCCAACAGCCGCATAACATTCAGATAAAAATTATGGTAATGACATTTCTAAGTATAACTTTCAAATAAGGTTCAGGTTAATAACTGATTTTCACTAGTACCTGAACTTCTACCAAAACAATAAACTGGTTTTAGGTTTATTAACCCTATGAATTTAGTAAAAGGTTCTTCAAATGACTGGAAATGCATAGTTTTGAGTAGATTTTATTTTACTTCCTGGGGGGAAACATGACCCAGACCCCACTAAGACTCTGTCACTCCAAAGCTTGTGTGTGATTAATACCTGCCAACATTTGCTAAATGTTGGCAGGTATTAATGTAGTCTTGAAATTATGTTACAAACTGAAACAGAATTGTCAGTTTGAAACTGAAAATTATATTAAGTGAAATTACCAGCTCTCTGATTTTACTCTTTAAGGGTATATGTTTGAGTAAAATTAACATTGTTCTTTTATTCTATGAACTACTGACAACATGTCTCTGAAATTCCAAGCAACAATTTTGCTGTCTCTTAATTTTTTCCAGAACTGTATGTAGTTGTTAACAGTTTAAGTTGGACAAAACTATTTTATTTTGTATGTGAATGTATGTAAATAAACAATGAGAATTAGAAAAATGCACCAACAAATATCTTCTCTTGGGTCTTAGCCCTGCTGTGACAGGCTTAGTAGCCCTAAAGGTCAGATCCATGAATTGCCTCTGGTTGAGTCTATGCAAAATCCTGACAAGAACAGAATTTAATGTGTGATTACCTCTGAACATCATAGTTGGCATTGAAGAGGCTTCCCTGCCACAAGCCTGTGATCTCCTCAGTCTCCTTCTCACTGGGATTTCCAGACACAGTTGCAAAGACCATCAAAGTCCTGCCTTTCTTTGACATCTTAAGAAGGTCCTCTGGCTTGGAGGGATCCACCTTGGAGAAATCAACGGGTGGAGGAGACCGTCTGTGCTCAGGAAGGTCCCCTTCTTCAATATCATCATCTTTCTGTGTGACAGAGAGTCTATCTTTAACTCATAAATTAACCTAGTGCTCTGAATTATAAATTATTCTTCATTTTGCAAGTTCCTCCTATGCTGAGGGTTTAATTTAAGCTCCATTAAACAGGATTCAGGAGGTCATTTGTAGAGGCCAATTGGCCCCACAGAGTACATAGACAGACACCGGTTTGACTAAATCCGCTGCCAGTGAACTACTCTCTTCAATTCAAGCTTTAGCACCCGGTAGTTGCACATATGGCTTCCTGAAAGCTCGAACTGATTCTTTATCTGCCGATAATGTTGTCTGATGTGTCTACATAGTGTTCTCTATATAAACCCGCTGTTTCTGTTAGATTATTAAGGAAGTTTTATTAGTCCTGGACACATAACAAGCAGGCTAACATTTAAATATAAAGCAGAAAGTTCACAAACCTCCCACTGTTCCAGAAGCCGCGCCATATCTGCGTCATTGTAGTCTCGAATGTCCTTCTTTTTCTTAGGTTTACCTGTACCGTCTGTTGCTGAAATATACAGCAAACATGTACAGAGCAGAATGACTACAAATGCGAACTTGCAGAAAGACGCCATGTTTACAGATGGTGTGCTGTGATTGGTCACAAATCAACCGGTCACGAGCCAACAGGGGCGTGTCAGAAACGTAAAATCTGGCATATGGCGCACAGCCGGGGCTAGAAGATTTCAAAATAAAGCTGACTTTGTGAATCTTATCAGTTTGTTCATAAAACAAGTTTGCTCATGTCAAAGTAGAGAGAGAAAGAGATAAAGAAATAGAGAGAGAGAAAGAAAGAAAGAGTGAGATAGAGAGAGAGGGAAAGAGAGAAAGAGAGTGAAACTACCTCAAAGATCTGTGTTTCCATCAAATCTCTCTAATATCTGGTGGCCAGTAACAACTTTTAATTGTGTTTCTCTTGAGTCAATTTTTCTTCTTACTCCTCATGTGTTACAGTTTGGTGGGATATAGTGAAACACTTGAATTAGGTCATTTAGATATTGACAAGGAAGAAAAAGCCTTATCTGATCACTCATCAAAGTTCTTCAGTACCAAAGTTCAGTATTGTGTCCCTGCTTTTCTATTTAATACTCTCCTCCAGCATGTTAGTTTAGGTGAATAGAAGTTACTTATCAAAAGATCCAGCTGATAGCATTTGGAGCTATCAGCTGAATAAATGCAGGACAGAACTGCATTTAAATATAACATAAACCTCAGCAGAAATACTTTACCAACCATTTGGATCACAGCAACAACCAAATATGCCACAGTTAAAGAAATCAAGATGTTCCAAAAGCAGGGCGGATTGGCTACCGGGGGATTCCTGGTAGATTCCAGCACAGAGATGCGGCTCGCTGTTCATGCAGGGCCGGCCCAAGGTAATACAGGGCCTCAGATAAAATCCTGATTTAGCCCCCGTCAGCCCTCCCCTACTAAGAACACCTGCATCACTAACAGTGTTTAAATGTAGATGAAGTCTGTGACAATTGGCTGAGTTTCAAATCTATCACTGAATATTGGTTATTATTTTCTGTAATGTATTTGTGAACAAAGCCCAATAAGATTACACCATATTGTAGCCATGGTAACACAATAATCAAACTATACAGATTATTCTTTACACTTTCACAAAGTAAACGTCCTAATTAAATCCTGAATGTACAATTTATTTTTTCTCTCTGCTGAATGCATTAAATAAAATGTTATAACATTGACATTCTCAATAAATGACTGTTAGAGCTTTAGATGTATGGTCAGAGTTACAGTTCAACCATGCAGCCCTACCAGCAGCTACTGACTTTTCTTTGGCTTGATACATCTGTCCTGCAATTCTAGATCTCAGAGGTGCTAACATCAAACAATTATGTGGAGTTAAGCCCTTTGAGCTTTTCTGACCTTTAAAGCAGTCTGCAGACAAGATGTTGTAGAGGCTAAACAAAAGTAGTAGGGCTTATTTATTAAAATAGCAGTAAATGTGCTTATTTCATAAAATGCTCCACAACCAACGACCTTCTCTCCAATAGTCTCTGTTTAAAAACTAGTCTCAGATCAACACAGCGCTCCAGCACTGTCAGCAGCAGAAACAGAAACATTATAACTATAAGAGGAAAAAATAGACTAAATTTGCCTTGCATTGCTCCCACATGATGACAATGACAAAGTACGTTCTGACTTAATTTTAGATTCTTAATTAATATGGGTTGTTGTTGTGCTGTTACGGTGTTTTAAGATCTTGTTCAATGTGTCTCTTCTTAGCTTTGAGCCCCCACCCTCTGAAGATTTCTGCACGGCTCTGTAGGTGACTAACTTTTGTTTGTCAGGTTTGAGTGACAAAAGTAGGAAAAAGACTGATTCTCTTAGCTGTGAACAGATTTTTGTGTTTTCGTTTGTCTCTATTTTTTGTGTGCATGTTTTTTTTTTTGTCACGTGTTGGGGTTTGATTTGTTAACAGCGTTGTATAAAACATAAATTCTGTAAGGAACACGCTGTCAAAATGGATAAATAAAGTATAAAAAAACAAAAAGACTGATTCTCTTGGAAATTTCAAAAAAACAACACAAAATGGCGTAAGGAAGAACTCTACACAAGCTGCCGATTAAACTGAACGTTATAACCTTGACATGATTATATGAACTGTTTTACCAAGAAATTGGACAGAAGCACGGTGAAGATGAATGAATCCTCTTTGGCTGTGCGCTCCCGACACAGGGGAACGGATTTTGACTCAGATAAGCCAACACTCAGTCAAATCTGCAGGTTCCGTTGTCAACCTATCTGACAAAAACAAAAATATAAAAAACAAAAACATGCAATGCAGTTCGATTAAAAACTGCGACAATAAAGCCTAGCTGTATTGTCGATGACCCACATGCCTAGACAATGCAATTTTCAGAACATTACTAATTGTGTGGCCCTGCATAAAAACCCAACATCACCACATGCTAAAATGATCAAAAACAATCAATTTTAAAAGTTTCCTTCAAACCTACCATAACTGTCAAATAATGGTGCCATCATCAATGATCATTGCTCATAGGCCCTGGATGAAAATCGAGCTCCATGGGAGAAATGCCAGACAGAGCATTGAAGGGAGATGAGAACTGTGCATCCCAACGGCACGGCAAGTTTGGTGCCAAATGTGGAGTCAAACCACAAAGTTTCTAGCTGGTTGCTGTTAGCAGGTAGTGTTTCTCAGGATTTTACACAAAGTGTGAGAAGCTGCTAAAAGCTTCATGTGAAGCTTGTTTGATGAGAAAAAAATAACATTTTACATTTTTGTTTAACAAAAACAACATTTTTTTAATTCTTTAAGCACATTTTTTGTATTTTCTTTTTCATGCAATTTTTAACAATATTCTAAGAATAGTCAAAAGCTTTAAAATCTAACCAACTGATTACTATTTTGCAAATTAACGTTTACTGTGGGTCTGTGGCTCTTGTGTTCCAAAGGTTGTAGATTTGATTCCAGCTTCTTTCTGCCACATGTGTATGTGCCCCAGAGCAAGACACCCTATTGGTGTATAAATGTGTTTCTGAATGCTTTCAGAAATCAAAATGGTCAGCTGTCTGGAAAAGCACTATCTTATTTCAGTCTATTTACCATTTCAGAAGTATAGAACATGATAATTAATACATATTAACCTAAGCTCCGCCAGAAAAACGCACCTTTTATTCTTCTTCTTTAATCTTAGTATTTTTTTATGCAGTCAGATCAGCAGTAAGACTTTCAAGTTCTATTTTTTTTTTTAAAGAAAAGGCATTTTGAATTTTAAATGAGACCAAGAAAAAAGATGAGTTCAGGCCAAAGTGTTTCTGCAGCTGTTTGGCCCGTCAGCTCTTATTTTTGAAAACACTCACTTCCGGTCTATTGCTAGGCTAGCGCCTCTGTTGACGCCCAGAGGCAGAGCCGCAGCGGGCAGGCTTTAAACTAAAATGCTTGTGAAGCCATCGAAATGCTGACTTGAACATCCAACAGATGATCTTCGCTGAAGTGAGACAATAACGACTCACTGTCTTGTAAGATCAACGAGGAGGATTATTTGCGTGCTTCGTTTGCTGAAACTTTGTCCGGACCAACAGCCTCTCAGCGGACCACACCCTCCCTGCTTCCTCATAGTAATGCAGCGGGAGCGCGCAGGATTACTTTGGATCTCTGGGAATAACCCCGAACTTCCTTTTCGCCTTTTTACGACGTTGTGGTTCTAGAACAGGTAATCTATGGACTGAAATAGCACCGAGTAGCATGGAGAGCAGCAGGTCCCTGCAGAGGAAATGTGGGGCTGCACCGGGTCCAGGCTCAGAGCGCAGAGTAACTGACGGATGATGCCGAAGCATCCGGAGCAGCCGACAGCTTCAAACCCAGGGCTCAGTGTGAGAAGGAAGAGGCTAAAGACGGACTGACAGAGTTTTGTTGTTCCTGGATTGCCCTATTCTCGTTGGAACTGCGAAAACAATGGTGCTGGAGAGAGAGCCCAAAGTCCCCGCTGTCCTGAAGAGCTGCACGGAGGGAGTCCGGATCGGAACCAGCATGAACAGGTCACTGTCTCTGTGGACAAGTCGGAAAAGATTGGGGTCCAGTTACAGGCCTCATGTTGGAGCAAAATGCTTGTAACTTAGAAAAAGTGCAAAAGACTATTGGCTAATGTTGAGGTGAGCTCTGTGACCTTCATGAGGAGGAAACATGTGGACCTGCAATGTGTGTGTTCTGGACATCTGGAGGAAACGGATTTTTCCGACTACACTTCTGATAATGACAGAGAGTTTTGTTAGGGGCATTTAATTAGAAACAAGTTTCAAGTTAAGTGTGTAGAATCTGTTACACTGAGAAGTGCTTGAGACCCTGTTCTATTAATACACTTGTAATTATTATTATTATTATTATTATTATTATTATTTTACAATCAACATCCCAGGCACTCAGCTGGGAATGAGCCTCAAATATATCAAATGAAAAGGTCTGATGCTAAATTAGCTTCATATCCAAAGCAGTAATTGCGTAGATGTCATTTGTCATTCCACCTGTTTACACTCAGCTCACAGTCCTGAGGAGGAAACTTTGTCTACAAATGCTGAGCTGTTCATGAAGGAACTTCAAAGAAGACTCTTAGACAAGTTAGTAAAAAGAAAAGAAAAGAAAAGAGCTTTTAACCTGAAAATGCAGCAGTGAAAGCTTGAAATAAGCAAAGCTTCACCTCCATCATTATGGCTAGCAGCGGCTCTGGCAGATCCACTTGTGAGGAATCAAGCAGCCCACTGAGTGGCAGTGTGCAGCAGAGGAAGCGGCTCTCCTTCATTTGTGATGCATGTAAGGCCAAAGTGCAGATGGTGGCTGACCTGCTGTTACTATCCAGTGAGACCCGGCCGGTCATGACCTCTGAAGGTGTTGCACTGGCTGACACCTTTGACCAGTGTCGTGACACAGTCATTGCCAGAACTAAAGAGCTCTCCATTCTCACCCACGACATCCAATGCCAGCTTAACATGGGTCGCTTTTCAGAGGTGGGGGACCGCCTCCTGGAGATGGCCGACTTGGTGGTTTCTCTGACTGAGTGCTCGACACATGCCGCCTACCTGGCAG